GAGAGAGAGAGAGAGCAAAAGTGACTCAAAATCTCACTGGTCGGGAAGGTTCAGTCAATTTGATTTCATGAAAGCATTCCCCTTGTAAAAACTTTCCTCTACTTTGCAGCATTTACCTTGCATGTATAAAGGCGTACAGGTGCACCACTATCCCTTTCATATGCACTTATGCTACCTTTATTGCTTTGCCCAGCATATTCTGTGGAATCTTGAGTATCACTATCATCTTCATCAGAAGCAAAAGCATATCTTTCATAGTGACTTGTATCTGGATCCTTAGAAATCACTGGGGAATTAATGGGCCCATCAACTTTAGGAGACATACGACGCACTTCAAATAAAGGAGATTTGCCTGTTTGTAAAATGTATAGCTTATGAGTTTAAAACCAGTATAAAATTAAATCATTTACCTTTCAACCAAGAAAATCACAATCAACCCTAGCCATTGAAATCAAGCTGCTGGGAGTGTCCTGTTCACTGTGCTCAATGTTAAATTTTTTTTTTTTCTCGAACTAAGTATAGAGAATGACACACCCCTAATAACCAGGGGTAACTGTGACCTTCTTGTAAAAACGGTAAACAATATAATCCAGTGAGGTTAAACAGTGACAAAATTTAACAAAACACTATACAAGATCAATATAGTCCCTTTTGGGGTCCCTACATTGTAGAATTAAACTAAAATCTATCGTTTCATTTGTCATAAACATGGATCCAGACTACCTGCAAGGATTGCATCTACAGTTGCATCTAATCTATGATGAACCCGGCATTCAGTTCGGGATATCATCTCAACAGCGGATAAGAAGGTAGAGGGGCCTTTTCTCTCAAGTATTGTCTTCTGAACCTTCCTCTTCTTTGCTTCATCATCACCAAGAGTGACACTCTGCAAATGAATAACTTATTAGGAATGAATAATCTCCATTCTGATCATGAATATTTGCAAATGCATTATTCTTAGTGGAAAATATTAAATAATTTAACAAGGAGAAAAAAATGTATAACTATTAAAGAATTTAACAAGGAGAACAAAATGTATAAATATTAAATAATTTAACAAGGAGTAAGAAATGTAAGAATACTATTGATTTTGGCATGCTTGCATAACTCTGTGAAGTACTGGTGCACAAGATCCAATTGAGGTCAATGCATGACCCTTGCTAAACATGAACTGAGGTGGTATATAGTGCAAAAATAAGAGCAAGATAAGTGTTGCTAGTGCTGTTGTAATGGCACCATATATGACCATAAATTAGACCGATTATATTATCAAAAGAGAATAAAAAAAACATTGTGTTGATTAAGGACCAACATTGACATGTTTCAGAACATATTTTTGCCTTATTGGTATATAAGGCAAAAACCATCATCATCATTATAAAGGCAAAAACATTTTATTGAAAAAAGGAGAAAAGGATATGCACATCAAGGTGAACCCAAAACTTCTAAAAGCTTGCTCAAAACACTATAATATTTCACCCATTATTTAAACCGGATTGAGCTGAAATGTGAGTGCATCTCACTTGGACGCACCTAAAAAAATAAAAGAAAATAATTCAAAAAAATAAAACGACCAAAATACTTTGTAATTGTTGAAGGGATATTTTAGTCAATTTATTTCTTGAGAATTATTATATATATATTTTTTAGGTGCATGAGGGTGGATGCAAACACCCTTAAAATTTCATGTCAATGCAACTTGTAAAAAAGATATAAAATTCAAATAGTAATAAACTATCCCAACTGTCTAGATTCAACCGGATTGTTGGCAGCCTATGAGCAAAATCCTGTAGCATTTCATCCATAGGCATTCCTAAGTCTCTCTCTCTCTCTCTCTCTCTCTCTCTCTCTCTGTTTGTGTGTGCGCGCCCACTCGCACGTGCGTGTGTGTATTGAAGACCAAGACTTAAAAATGCATGATTCTATAACACGGACAAAATATAGGAAGCCCACAATAAAAAATATTAACCCTTTCAAATTTCAATTCTTGTAAGTACAATGGTAACAAAGGATTTTACAAACCTCAATGCCACCAACAAGAATTTGCAAGGACGGATTTCTCATTATGTTCTCAATTGTCATCCCGTGGGCTGTTCCAACCAGTTGGACACCTCTCTGTGCAATTGTACTGGCTGCCATGGCTTCAAGCTCGGTCCCAATTTCATCAATGATAATTGTCTCAGGCATGTGATTTTCAACTGCTTCAATCATTACCTGCATGAAAAATTAAAATCAAGGATCCAAACAACAATCCAAACAATATTCAGCAAAGAAATGAAAAGAACTCTTCACTTTCCAAGTTTAAATAAAGAAAGCAACTGGCATATTATAGACATAAGAGACCTACAGTATGCTGCATATTAACATTGGGGACTTGCATTCTTCTTGCACGCCCTATTCCTGAATGAGGGATATCTCCATCACCTCCAATCTCATTAGATGTGTCAATGATTACAACGCGTCTTTTATGGTCATCTGCTAACATTCTAGCTATCTCCCTAAGCATAACAACAAAGTCAGTATTACATTTCCACAACATCCATCAGGATTAACAGACATTCAAATATATAATAGTGTTAACAAGCCGTGGAAAAAACAAACTCACGAGTTCCATTAACAAAAACAATACCAAGGAACATGCGTCACCAATCAAACCTAGCACATGTGATGATTGTACTTGCTAGATTACATTGTGAAGAATCAGAGTACCAGATAACTGAAATGATCCTAAATCATAAATATCAACAGGAAATGAGATATTATAAAACTTGCATTCGGTGCTCGGATAAAATAAATGTTTGGTTATTTTATGATGTATACAGCAAAATTTATTATTTACATAGTGATGGCAATGTTCTGGTGATCTCCATCTCCGTAAACGCAGAAGAGGTCACACTTTGAATCATTCTATTTAAACATGATATGCATACTTCAAGGAACATGGGAGTGAAATACAGGTTCATAAGGAGGGCATTCACAAAATGCTTTTTATACATAGTTGAAAAGGCCAACTCTATCTCTTTCATACTAAAGCAATCCAACGCCACCTTGTAACATTGTCGGATATTACAGATGTTCACATGTATTACATGACTTCTTTTTATAATTAAAACAAGGGAAATTTACCAAATCACACCTAAGAGTTTAACTATTTAACATCTCACTGGGTTCAGTTGGCCGATTCAAATAGCCCATCATTCTTTTGATTAAATTTCAAATATTCCCATCAAATTACGCATCATTATGGGCCAGGAAATTTATTAGATCACACCTATGAGTGAGATGTTAAAACAGTTTAAGTCTTACGTGTAATTTCATAAATTTTCTTAAGAAGAAAGATTTGAATTTTCCTTTTATGATGATTGAAACTCGCGTGTCCAACTGAAATTTTCTTTTTATGACGATTGAAACTTGCATGTCCAACTGAAACTGGAGGGGAAGAGAAAACCTTATCAAGGTGGTCTTTCCAACTCCTGGTTGTCCAATAACCAAGACAGAGCCTCCATCCTCAACCAAGTCCCTGACCATCTCTGCACTTCCAGATATTGCCCGACCAACTCGACAAGTTAACCCAATTATTTGCATTTTCCGGTTTCGAATAGCACTAATGCGATGCAGTGAATTATTAATCCCAGATCGATTGTCATCTGAGAAATCACCCACCTAAAATGCAAATAAAACAATTTGAGAAAAATAACTATGCTATAGGAATTGCCATTGTTATATTCATATCAATTACGAAATAAACCAATTTGATATCAATAATTAAATCGATTTGTATAGCTTTGGACTGAATCCCACAAGAATGCAATACTCAACAAATTTAATTTTTGAAAGAAATACAAATGCAAATTACTCTATGAACAGAACCCAATAACAGCTCAGCAATTGAGAGAGAGAGAGAGAGAGAGAGAGAGAGAGAGAGAGAGAGAGAGAGAGAAGTAAGAAAGTAAAGAAAGTAGTAGTACGAGTAGTAGTAGTATATATAATAGTACGTACTACTACTTACTTACGTAAGTAGTAGTAAGTTAAGTTA